ACATGTGAAGTAGTAGAGTTGGACTTGCGAGACGTTAGATATATTCTAGATTCAGATTGAATTTATTATCTACAAGGACGCTAAACGATGATGGCTACAACAGTGAGTTTGTTGGGGATTTCTGGAAGCTCAAGAGGGAATCCAAGGTAGTAGCGACAGACCACAAGAGATCTTTTGTTTATGTGTCAAAGTTTGGGGTTGCCAAACGTTCACATAGACAAGTAATGCACAAAGTAGTTGCAGGTGGTTCAGGGTGAGACCTTAAAGAACTAGAAGCATTGATGGCCATAAAAGATCAGAAAAATCTACCATTAGCTCAAGTTAAACAGCTAGGAAGTATAGAAAATGGAAATGAGAATTTGATAGGTCATCGAGTTCATACCTCAGCTGTCAGACGTTCAGGTGAGATGTGGAAGTCGCATAGGCGAATTAGTGCATCGAAGGGTACGAGTCCTATTTCTAGTGTGGCGACATGCTTGGGCGGGATTGTTAAGCCTAATGCAGAAGGAAAATCTTCTTTCAGAGGTCAGTGGGTTCGATCGAAGAAAGAAGCAGCAGGAACAACTTAGATCAAGTGGGAGTACTGAAGGGATGTGATTCTCGGAGCGGAAGCGGATCTTCATTGCTGATTTTCGGGATACAAAATCTAAATGCAAATAAGGAAATACAGGGGAAAAATCAAACCTTTGAAGAACGTTTCTTCAGTGAGTTCCCCTCGAACACCACCACCGGATCTTCCTCGCTTTCCTCTTGGGTCTCGGGATCGTGCTGGTGGGAGCAAATCTTTTTGGAATGAAAGGGAGAGTTTGAGAGAATTTTTCCTTGCAGGTTTTTTTTTTCAATAGAGAGAGTAAGCAGAACCCTTCTGTTGTGTACCAAGAAGGAGGTGATGTGGGTTAACTACCCACATCACCACTCCCCTACGTTTTTTAGGGAGAGATGGTGTTTGTTTTTTTTAATTAATTAAAATCAATTAATTAAGTTAAACAATTAATTTAATTAACTAATTAAAATTAATTAATTAACATTTAATTAATCAATAATTTAATTAATCATTAATCTAATTAATAATTAATCAAATTCAAATATTAATTAAATATAATCATAAGTTTGAATCATATTCAAACAACTCTCTTGTATAACCTATAGTTTTAATGTACATCGTATGCACATTATTTTTAACCTATAGTTTTAATATGAATCTTATTCATATTAATTTTATTTGAATCTCATTCAAATAATTTCTCTCATAATATATAGTTTTAATTTAGAATTAACTATATATTATAATGTATCAATATACATATAATCCCTTATGAAATTTGAACAGTTCAAATTCTTCCAAAAACTTGATCCTCGTTTTACCCGTTATGAGCTAGCAAGGGGACCTAATGGACCTACAGATCAGAAGCTTCAACGATACGAGATTAATCGATCAAACTCATTGAACGAGTTAATCAACATTCGTTAACTACAGGTCATTCCACTAAAGACCCGCAGTTGCACTCTTCTCACTGCAGAATGTTTTCGTGTCCATGGATATACGACCATTAATGACGAGTCAATCCTTCATGAGTGCTCGTAACTCAAGTTGGGTCAAATTACCGTTTTACCCCTGAGTTACATCTTACTCCTTTAATACCACTGCTCCTCTAATGAACAACCCGGTTATGGTCCGACCAATAACCGGAAGTCCCTCTCGGGCCAATGAGAGGGTGGGGCCCCTTGTTCAAGTCCCGAAGTCAGCATTTAAGGGAACACTCATCTACTCCCCTAAATTCGGGGAGGAGTGAATTCCATCTTGTGAAGTTATGTTCCCAGCTCCCCACTCGGTCTCGTCCCCAAAATGGTAGGAATATTGAGTCGGCAACTCGGGCCACTC